AAACGCACAAAAATGGCACGTTTTTTTATTTATAAATTTTTCTAGGACCACCTTATTAACAGCTGAAATTTGGCAGCACATCATGGCGTCCGTTGTTTGTAAACACGTCGTACATAGTGCTCCGAACACGGCGGTGTTTTCAAAAAGTCGCCAGTTACGTGATTTGAAGAAGCTGTGTCGTTGATTACGGATAGGATAAGGAAATGCGACTCAGTCGTTGCAAATTTGGCTGTGTTGGTTCAAGCAAATAGAAGTTGGTTCATTCCGTGGTGGTGTGGCAATCGTAAGTTAATGCAATGGAGGTACGGGCATGCAGGCCATGCTAAATACAGACTCCAAAAAATGCATGTAGCGCTGAACGTGGTTGAGTGGCGATGTCGTAGTAAAAATTTCAGTGCATGTGCGCCGTAAATCTGGGTACACAGAGCTTGGCACACAGTCACCATCAAAGTTAGTGCATAGAGAGGCAATGTGTTTCAGAGAATTATAAGGTAAAGGTAACATAATTCCAAAAGAGCGGGCAAAAATCCCAAAAGTATTTTTCACACCCAAAAAATAAAAGTACTGGGCAGTATGAACTGGTGAGAGCTGAGAGCATGCAACTGCAATGCTCTTTACACCCCTTTCATGTAGATGCCTGGTGCAATGAATGGATTTTTGCTGACTGATACCTGCTGTGTCACCTATTTTTGCTAGTCATCTCAATTCACTTTTAGCTCTTGACCTGGCATTCTGCATAGCCCTGCTATGAGGGATGATTATTATCACTTCTTGGAAACCAGGTACTAGATGCCAGCCTTTACCTTGTAAATGTTGGTGATCTGCTTTCCAGCATGCAAACCATGGCAAACATGCAAGAAGATGTTTTGTTTGAGCAGAACCTTGCCTCAGATAAGATATCAAATGTACCATTATGGGCAGACTTTGTCAATGTGGCTAACATTCCAAGTCAGGAGCTTGAACCAAAAAGGTATATTAACCAAAATCTGGTGCAGTTTATAATAAAAGTTAACCAAAGTGTCCTTTGTGTCCCTTAGTGTTAATATGCACCCAACAGCACCATGTTCTTAGGTGCTAATATGCACCCAATTTGGCATATCTATGACAAGCACTATGATATCTTCCTTCACTTATCAGGCTGATGCAAATACAATAGTAGGATTTATTTAGTTGTTTGGCCCCAAAATGCATGCTGTTTATCCCTGCTACACCAGACTGTCTCACAAGCATTGGCACCTCTTCCTGACTATAAGATGCTCATGATATTCCATCATAAACGCCAGCTGCTCGTCAAAGAAAAGTCTTCAGGACTGTGTGCATTTTGAAGGGCAAGTAGTCAACTGTGGGTAGCCAAAAGCAGTTATGAACTGTGTCAGGGCCAACAAATTTTTTGTGAGCTTTTTTTTGGTAGGGTACCCTGTGAACTTTGTTTTTGTTACTTGTCTTGCTGCTAGAGCAGCACTCAGTCCTATGTGTCCAGTTCAGGACATCACAGCTTTCTTCTCCTTCTGGGTGCTAATGCAGGGCCACATTATCCTTGTATCAGCACTTTGGCATGGTGATTACTAGTTCACTTGATTTCGTGCACCCCAAAATCTACAGCCACTGCCACCCAACTGACTAATCCTCCTGGCTTGCCTGCAGCACTATCACCATGCCGTCGATGGCCAGCACGGTGGGCGGCACCAAGTTCGGCACGCCGCAGAAGCTGACGGACACGGTGGGACGGCTATCGGGCCGCCTAGCCCGCGGCAAGGGCACGCAGACCAAGTGCGTCGACTCCGTGGCGGCCAGCTTCGCGCTGAGGTGAGCCAACGAGGGGCGGCGAAGGCTCGCTGATCGACGGCGCGTGGAGAGGGCAGCGAGAGGGGCACTGAAGGGTGCAGCAAGGGAGCTGGCGGAGTAGAGACCAGCCTGTCTGCCGGCAGATGGAGTGGGGTCAACTGTTCCGACGTCACCTAGCTTCTGGCGAAGTCTGCTGACCGGCCAGGCCCTGCTGTTATCTAACCGGAGCTGTTGTTCGGCGTGTTCCTGTCGGGCCGATGACTAGTGATGTACCGCGACCGGTCTCTCGCCACTGAAGTCGACTTGCGTAACACTAGCCAGACGGCAGCATAACGACCAATGCGGGGCGCTGAAGCCAGCATCGGTCTGTGCTGCCGCCTGACTCTGGCGGATCCTTCCTCTCGGCAGCACCAAGCACCGCCTGCTGGCCGTCAGCCCGGACGACACCGACACGCGCAGCCTGCACGCGCTGGTGCTGACGTTTGACGCGGACGGCGAGAGGCTGCTGATCGGCACGGCTCAGGGCGCCGTCTACAAGGTCGACCTGCTCGCCTTCAGGTAGGCGCACGGCCGGCTCCGCCGAACGCGGCGAGAGCCCGTGGCTGGCTCCGCCGAAGGCGGCGAGAGCCGGTGGCCGGCTCCGCCGAACGCGGCGAGAGCTTACGACCGGCTTCATCGAACGCGGCGAGAGCCCACAGCCAGCCCCGCCGAACGTGACGAGAGCTTACGATTGGCTTCATCGAACGCGGCGAAAGCCCATGGCCGGGTGGATCAAGCGTTGCTCTGGGGTGACCGCAGTTGCCTTGTTGTGTGGCGCTCCGTGCGTGCGGTGGGCACGGAGGAGGAGTGGAGCGTGTGACCACCAGTAAGCCGCCGCTGTTCTCGGAGGCGGCTGACTGTGCTTGATCCCGTGACGTCAGCGGGTCTCGCCCCATGGCCAGGTTCCATCTGATAGCGTACGTGCCGGACGTGATCACGTGCCTGACGGTGCTGGCCGGCGAGGCGGAACGCTACGTGGTCGTCGGTCAAAAGAACGGCCACCTGCTCAGCATCAACGAGGGTGAGGCAGCCTAGGGTCTGCGGGCACTCGGCGGGAGGGGCCTCCGAGTGTGCCTTATTCTTGGTACGCGGGGGCCGGCAGTGTGTGTAGTTAACAGTGACTATATTACACTGGCTGTGTTCCCTGGAGGCAAGCGACTAAGGGCAACACATGCAAACCATTTGAAACTGGCTGGGTAGTTGAGCTACGTTGCTTGCCGTCCCCGTTATTCTATTTCGCCGTGTGTGATGATAGCGCATTTGAGCTATTCGGTTACTGCTTAACTCTTTACATTACCGTTTTGTTGTCGGCTATTCACTGGTTTTCTTCTCTAGCTGTGCTGTCCTTTACGACATGTGCAACCATGCACGCACAGAGCCAATTCGCTTTGTGAATCTGCCCAGCGCATCACGGGGAGGGGAGGGGAGGGGGGGGGGGCTGCTGGTGTTTAGCTTGTGGACGTGGATGCGGGCGTTATTGGCTTGTCTCATGGCAATCCTCCGCTGTATGCCTTTCCTCTCCGACCTTTTCCGTTTCGTTTCCTCCCTTCGTTCTTGCCTCCTTCAGTTCTTTCTTCCCTTCCACTTCCGTTTCCCTACATTTGTCTAGGTCTATTAATGCCTAGCTTTCGTATTTTTGTCACTGCATCTGCATTGTTGACTTGGCCACCCATCACGTGCTCATTTTTCAAGTGACTTCATTGTCAGCCGATTACTCCATCTCGCTCCCTTCTTCCCGGTCCCCACCCCTCGTTGCCCCACCGTTCGCCGCGGCCGTCGGCCCCCTGACCACGTGCACCGTCTGGCGGCAGTGACGCACGAGCGGGCTGGCCAGCGGGGGGCGCACAGCGGCGCCCTGCTTGGCCTCTGCGCCGGCCAGGCGGCCACCGTCTGCAGCTACTCCCGCAACGAAGCGTTCGTCTGGCGCGGCGGTGAGCTGCGCAAGCTCTACCAGCTCCACCTCAACAGCAGCGCGTTCATCGTCAAGGTGAGGCGAGGTGTGAGGCTGGGCGAAGCCGCAGTGTGGGAAGAGAGGATGGGTGACATATGACCAGAGTAGTCAGCGCGCCCTGAAGCCCAAATGGTCATCATCAGTTTGGTATGAGAGCGGGGAGGTAGCCGATGGTCTGAGTTGGGAATGAAAGTCTGGTACGAAATAACACGGCAGGTCTCGTCTGGTTAACGGTGCAATTTTTAGCCGTCTCTAGACGAGCCAGTGGCTCATACTGGGCATTGACACATTCACTGTCACAAAACGTGGCTTTTCTATTGGCATGCTTGACGGTCTTTCGTTAATGTAAGAATGCTTTGTCCTCGAGTTTTGTGCATTTGTACAGAAAGACGTATTTACAAACAGCATATGGGTTATGTTGTTATGACAGCGATACTGGCTGATGTCATCGCATTGCCTCCCGGCCGCGCGCCAGGTAATGCGACCGACACCTGCACCGCACCGGAGCCGCGATCCACTCCCCGTGTACCGCTCCCTGCCGCCGCGGCCCCTCCTCCGTGCGCCGCTGCGTCGCTACGGTGCCATCCCCCTCCGCCGCCCGCCCCGCGTGACGCCGCCTCGGTCGCCAGATGTCGTTCCTGTCGGACTCGACGCTGCTGGGCGCGTTCGCCGACGACTCGGTGTACGTCTGGTGCCTGGAGAGCCTGCGGGTGGCGCACGAGGTGCTCCAGCTGAGCCGACACCGCGCCGGCGTCGCCGACGTCGCCGCCGCCGAGTCAGTACACACGGCCCGGGGCAGGGGTCGGCACGTGACGGCGGCTGAGAGGCGCCGCACTGCAATGATCAGTTGTCTACAATTATCAGCTTTTAATTATCATGCGGTTATCAGAGTGAAGGGAGGGGACGTACTACCGCGGGCTATGTGTGAAGCGTGACAATGCCAGGTGAAAAACGTTTGTGATATTTGTGTTCTGCTAACAGCATATACGTTGTCATATGATGTTAAAGGTGACGCATCATTTCTTTACTTTCTTTTTCTTGCTGTGGCTGAAAATAGACGGATATTGTGTGATAGATTCCCCGTCTGACGATACGCATTCTTGTTCGTGCAACATACGCCAGGCCGGCGCATCGTTAGATGTCAGTTCTGCCGGGCTGGAGACTTAGCCCTCACATCTGATTCTGTCCTCACAGCTGACTGTCGTCACATCACTGACTCCACCCTCACATCACCGGGTCCACCATCACATCACTGAATCCACCCTCACACCACTGAGTCCATCCTCACATCATTTGATTCCACCGTCATATCACTGACTCCACCCTCGCATAATCTGACTCCACCCTTGCGTCATCTGACTCCGCCCTTACATCTCATCCCGCCTTCGCATCGCTAACTGAGCCCTCACATCCAATTCTTCCCCACGTGTGACCCGCTTTCTGTCCGCACCAGGGACTGTGACTTGTTCTACGCGGCCGGCAAGACGAGCCAGGTGTTCGAGTTCAGCCTGGCCGAGTCGCGCGTCACGCGAATCTTCTCGTTGCCGGAGGGCAGCGGCCACGTGGCCCAGCTGCTGGTGTTCCCCGGACCGTTCCTTGGACAGGTGAGCGCCGGCCGGACCGCGAGACGTTCCCGAGACGGCCGGCACGACCGCAGGTGCTGGCGACTGTGACGGCGGGAACGGTGTTTCTAAAACGGCTGTGTTTGGTGTTCGGGGGTCATAGCAGCGTGTCTTCCATGTAGCCATCTGCCGCCCAGCAGATGTTGTGTTACCAGTACCACGTGCGACGGTTGGTGCTTCCATTTCTGTTGGCTAATTTCGCCACATTTGACGTTTTTCTCCGACAACCAAGGCCCGGGCCGGTCGAGCCGCAGCATTGCACGGCACTTAAAACCCTTCCATTCCTGTCAAGCCAAAGGACGGAGGCAAATATATCCGCTGAAATGGACAGCGCGACTTGGGCGGTGGGCTCAGGGTACACGCGATAAGCCTTGGCTAACAGTTATTCTGAACCCAAAGCCACTCATGGAGACCACTCGAATAAATGTTTGTAAAAAACGACGCCCCGACAACTTTTGATTGTGACATTGCGCGGCACCGTGACAATTAAGTGACCAGAGCGTCACGTGGTCGAGACAGCGCCGGTTCAAAACATGAACTGTCTTCTGTCGTCTGACACTTGCCGGCCGCCCTTTTCTGCTCCACCGCTCATCTCAACACGCCCGCACAGTGACGTCGGACAGCCGTCAGAGTCCTATTGATCAGCCCGTCTATCGCGGCTTAAGGGATTACATACCATACATTTTTTTGTGCCGCTGGACTCCCGGGCTTTGATCGCTGTCTGGGATTAACAATCCGTCCGACGGTCAGTCTCGCCGCCGCGGATCGCCGCCGTGATAGTCTAGTGGTTAGGACCTCGCGTTGTGGCCGCGATAACCCCGGTTCGAATCCGGGTCACGGCATGTCGGCTTTTGACATTTCTATGATACTTGTACATGGTCTAAGGTGACACGACAAATATCCCCTTAGCATAGCCGTCTTTGAATGTCGCTGGTTGTCCATTTGTCTGGTTACTGTAATGTAATGAGGCTTGTGATCACTGACGGTAGTTTGATCCTGCTGTGCTCAGGGTTATTGTGATTTCGAATACCCTTGACACTGTGATGATACAAAGCCGTTCACGAAACAAGTCATATGTGATTTTAAGCCTCTTGGTCCATCAGTGACTTCATCGGGGTAAAACTAGTTTCCGCCACTTTCACATGGTACCAGATAATATTGGTTTAAATGTCAGAAACTCCAAAAAAACGTGCGTTTTTGGGCAGTTATCAACTTTGATACGATCACGACTTTCAGGCCATTTTTGTTGATGCATCTTACGACAAACTGCATTTGTAGTATGTTGATAATGACAGTAAGCTGTTATTTTGCTTCGTTAGTTAACCCTCGCCTTGATCCGCCGTTTTTCATAACGCGGACTGGCTAAGGTGTGGGGGGGGGGACGATGCGAACCCCTGTCATTTCGATACTTATGAAGATAGAGCTTAGCAGAAAACACCATTGGTTTGGTCTCAACCAGATCTCGCGATTGATAACAGTTTTATGTGACTAGGTCTGTAATTGACCCATTGTACTAGGTCAAAGGTCAAATTTTCCCGAAAATCACACTTTTTACCTTTTCAACCTCATACATGCGTGACCTTGTCTCGCAGCGGCACAAAATCCAAACCACCATGTCCTTTGCTTAATTCTAAGTGCAATGGTGTACAGCTTTATGTGTCTTGAGTATATCCTTACGATACATCACTCTGTCAATGCAACAATGTCGACCCGCCGCGCTGCTCCGAAGCCGGGAAGGCTAGGAACACAGTCTTGACGTCAAAACACGCGCAATGGGTGCTCGATGCTCCAAAAAATTGAGTTGAGCACAATTGCACAACATGACGGGTAGATATAAAAAGGGTCCGGGGTTGAGACGCATCATTCCCCCCCCCCCCTTCAGGGCAGGCTAAGGGAACATGCCCACAATATTTCAGTCTTCGCCATTGCTGCCCGTTTGTGCCACCTTTAATTTCCGCCAGTTGGTTTCAAGCGGCTAAAACTGGCCGACAGGAGCTGTCTCAGTCGGCTGCAGCTTGCTCTACCTTTTACAGTGGTTGGAACGTTTCACGATGAGCTTCCATTATGGTGGAAAGTCCATTTGTTTACACGCATCGCAAAGGGTCTGTATTCCCTTGTTTTTGGCTTCGAAAAGGGCACACGTAAAACGGTGGACTCAAAACATGAAACGGCTGCCGACCACATATGGCCAGAAAAACCAAGGATCCGTCAGTTGATCTCGTCGATTCATGGGCTTTCACTCCACGGTTTTAATTGTTTTGTGACCCCAGAGCATGCTGAATGATCGAAGATAAATCGGTGCATTTCCACGCTTATCCTTTCGTTAAACTAATCGCTAAGGACAAGCCTTACGTATAGCTGGCTTAGCTTGCTGGCTTAGCTATAGCTTGGTATAGCTTACGCCTAGCTTGCAATGCCATCATGCTGCCGAAGTGTGCCGCTACATTCTCCTGCCTCCGTCGCAGATCCTGGGCGTGCTGCTGGAGAGTGGAGTGGTCAAGTTCATCCACACGGAGACGGGCCGGGTCGTGCAGAGTCTGAACAACGCCCGGCATAGCATCGGTCAGTGACGGCAGCAGCGAGGTGGTCGGGCGACCCGCGCGGCCCTCTCTCCTGCCAGGGAATATCCCTCTGTGATGTACCGAAGGGTCGGCCGTGGACATCGTTCATTTTTTTTTAGGAAAGCGGTCTGTCGCTTTATCTGCAGGACAAGCGGTCTTTGATTTATCAACCCATTGCTTGCGCTCGCCGCCGTGATAGTCTAGTGGTTAGGACCTCGCGTTGTGGCCGCGATAACCCCGGTTCGAATCCGGGTCACGGCACGGTGGTTTTAGTTGCCGGATGGTGTAGAGTCAGCACAGGTGTCTCAGGCTACAGATGGTGTCACACGTGCGATAAGTGATATGCGTGAAGGTACGCTCATAATGTATGTGTTGATATCGCTAGTATAATATATAGCTTCTGATGTATATATGTACATGTGTATAAGACCTGAGGTTTCCTAATTATAGAAAAGGAACTATAAACACATGTAAGTTTATGTATTTACACATATATACATATATTTAGTTATATATATATATATATATATATATATATATATATATATATATATATATATATATATATATATGATGACGCGAACGGTGTTCGAACCGATCCCCCGACGTGGAAGTCAAAGATGCCAACCACTTAGCCATAACGCTCCCGTCACCGCCACGCAAAATCGAAACTTGCGCAAGGTTGACTTTGCCAACAAGCCTGTTTGTCATCGCATGCTCCCTGTCATCTTCTGTGGCCGCGCTTCTGCCTGCGCCGTCCGGTCTCCCCAGCGGCACGGCGTCCCCTCGCGCCCTGACCTCCGCCCCCTGACCTCCGCCCCCGGGCGCCGGCAGCGCACACCGTCGCCAGCCGGTCGGGCCTGTTCCTGGCCTGCCTGCTCGACTCGGGCCAGATCTGCCTGCATCATAGCACCGGTGACGTGTTCCGCCGTATCGTGCTGCCTGAGGTGTTCTACGACAACAAGCCGCGCGTCACGCTGGTCGACGACTCGGCCACGCGGGTCCGGCTGCCGGCGGCGGCGACGCCGGCCGGCACCGCGCAGCGCGCCGCTAAGGTGTGCCCCTGGGCAGCCATCTGCGCAGGGCGGCGGGCGCAGGGACATAGGATGGACAAGGCGTTGCATGATTGAAGAAAGGGTGCGAGCAGTCTTAACCGGTATTGCGTTTTTTTCATCTGTGCTGGTGGACCAACGACAGAAACGTAACAAATCTCACCATGATGTTTTGATGAAAACGGCAACAAGAATCGCCATAACTCGTGTCTTAAGGCGGGGTTATTCTCTCGTCAATTGTGTTTCATCCCAGGTGACTGCCGAAGCCTTCTCCACCCCGCTACTTCTGTGGACCGCTGCTGACCTTGCCGTCGCTGTCGCAGCGCGGCAAGACGCCGCTGCTGAACACGGCGCGGCTGGCGCCGATCGTGCGCGAGCAGGGCGAGTTCCCGGCCCAGTACCGGCAGCTGATCTGGCGCCACGTGCTGGAGCTGCCCGGCGCGCACGCGCTGTACGTGACGCTGTCCGAGCGCGGCCAGCACCCGGCCTGGAGGCACGCGGCGCAGCGCTACCCGGTCAGGGAGGTGGCCGTCGCCAGAGTGCTGGCCAGGTGAGCGGGTGTCAACACCGTCAGCTCGCAGCTGGCGGGACGGGTCACCCCACCCGGTCACCTGTCCCAGGCGCTAGGCGTCGGTCCCGGTCGAGGGTTGAGTGCCCGGGGGATCATTTCCAGCGGCCAGTCCCGGTGGGAGAGAGTGCCACCGGTGCTGGACCGGCGCGACTCCCGACAGAGTACACAGTGGACCGCACGGAAAGGGGCCAGTGCCACAACGGGTGGCGTGCTTCTTCAGTCTCGCCTCCTCACAGCGCACGGCTCTGTCCGTGTACGTCCCCCCAGCGCTGGGATTATGCCGTGGGCAGCCACTGGCGGGGCTCTGCCGTTTGTTTCGACGGGGCCCCAGGCCCACCCGAGCACTGGCCGGGCCCCACCGGCCACAGGGCCAGTGTGCTGTGGGAAGGACGCCAGTCACCGCTTTGACGCGACATGATGCGAACGAGGAGAAGAGGTTGCACCCATTCGAACCAGCCGTATCGCGCCGTTTCTTCGCAACCCGCCACACCACCAATTGTGTTTTACTTTGCTTGATTATTTTGAGTCATGTTTATCCATTTTGTTTTGTCTTTAAGTTCCAGCTTTATTTGAGTCTAGGAACATGACTCGTCTAACGTCGCTCTATTGGGCGTTTTGCGTTTGCTGAGACAAATCTGACTGCATAGCATGATTTATCGCATGTTCTGGACACCATGCCACCGTTTTGCTTGTTTCGTTCCGCCACGCCCGCCGTCTGTTTGTTTTCGCCGAATCGGTTTACGCCGCGTCGCGCCGACCGGCGAGCCCGCCTGACGCCGCCGCCGGCCCTCTGACTGCAGCACACTCTCGGCGCTGGCCTGGTGGTGCCCCCTGTTCGCCGAGGTCGAGTTCCTCCCCTACTTCGTGTTCCCCTTCTGTAGCGTGTTCTCGGCCGACCCGCTGGCCGCCCTCGAGACGGTCATCACGCTGCTCGGTGAGAGGCACGCGCAGGCTGGGGGGCAGCTAGGGGCGTGCTGTAGCTGACCACCTGGGAGGGAATGCCTGTTCGGTCTGCTCCTTGTTCTCATACGCCAGGCATCGACGCACATCGTGTCGAAGCAAGCGAGAACTGTTTGGAAAAGAGCTTCTCATGTAATCGTTTAAAAGGGCTTTTCTCGTGTAGGTCCAAACAGTGACTAAATGTAGCGTTTGTTCGTGTACAGGCTGCGTGACAACGTTTATTTAAAGCCTTTGTCAGTTCATCGATGTCATTTTGTGTGGCCACCGCCGTGATAGTCTAGTGGTCAGGACCTCGCGTTGTGGCCGCGATAACCCCGGTTCGAATCCGGGTCACGGCACGGCAGTTTTAAGCGCCCACGGTTGCGGTGCGGCATGAGCAAGACTGCCTCCGTGCTGCCGCCGCCACCTACGTACCCACGCATTACACTGCAGGCAATCACGTCCTTACGTGATAACCAGTAGTTCCCCCGCTACGAATGTGGCCGCTGGTCTCCGGGTCGCTCCGTATCACGACCGCCGTGCGTGTTTCGCGTACTCGCCACAGTAAACTGGTGCCAGCGGTGGTTCGAGTTCTTCCCGTACCCGCCCATCTCGGTGCTGGGCATGGTGGAGAACATGCTGGCGCACCACTGCCCCGAGCTGCTGCGACACTACATGGAGCTGGGCGTCACCGCGCACGTGTACGGCTGGCCCCTGCTCGAGACCGCCTTCTCCGAGGTGACCGCGGCGGAGCGGGTCGGGGACGGCGCTGTCGGGTGTGGCCGCGGCCGTGAATCAGGCGGGGTCTTCTCAGCGTCTGTCGTGGGACGATGCAGGGTCCACACACCACTATCGTGGCGGCCCCATTGAAGCCTTCGCCGAGCTTGTCGTGATGTTGAAATTATGCGTCGATCACATTCTTGTTGTGATTGCATGTAACAGTGTAATGTGACGTTTCTGTTGCCTACCCCGCAGACTCATAGTAAAGTGACATAAAGGAATTGCTCCTCTGCTCACTACGATACATATGCGTGTGTTTTGTGTTTTTTTCGTTTTGTTTACGGAAACTTTTGGGAAGGACTTTATTTTCTACGTAAATTCCGAACAAGTATCGTGAATGTGGATGATCAGGAAGAAGTGGACAGGCTTTTTTGTGCAGTGCCGTATTGATCTGGTCCTAACAAGATGTGCTCGTCGTCAGGTGTTCACCCAGAACGACTGGCTGGTGGCCTGGGACCACATCCTGACCAACGACCCGTCCTACATGCTGGCCGTCGTCATCTCCTACAACGCCGTCTCGCAAGCGGCTCTGCTGCGCTGCAAGACGGCCGACGACATCAGCGTAAGCACGTCAGGCGCGTCCTGGTGATGAGTCGACGGTCTGGTAAGGGGCCGGGCTCGCTCGTGATGATCTTACACCCTCGGTGTGCAATTGTTAGTGCAAGCCCGAACAGGTGTGACTTCGGGGAATGCGATATTGCGAACCACATCCCAAATGGGACGCTGGCGGCCCGTGGATCACCATCCGAGTGCCATTGTCTCAGTGGATGGCTGCCGTGGCGACTGATTATCAATCTCGGGACATTTTGTGCGTGGGCAGTAGACTGAGCACTGCGGCACCCTCGCGCCGCCAGTACTACTTCCGAAACCAGAACGTGGTGAGCGTGCGGCACGTGGTACGGCGCGCCTACGTCATCCACGAGTCGACTCCGGCTGACATCCACCCGCGCGGCTTCATGGAGAAATTCGAGGCCATCGGCGCCGAGGCCTACCCCGTCTTCAACAAGTACCCGACCTTCATCGTCAACCACCAGGTGAGGCTGGCTGCACAGCAGTTGCTGTTAAGTATATCAAGTAGCTTGAAGTCACGTCCAGGCCGTGATGACGTGGACCGCAAACAATGTGCTGTTTGCTCGGGCTGGTGAGCTGTTATTAAGTGCCCCCCCCCCCCCCCCCAAACTGCTGGCGTAAGTAAGTTGGCTTACGCCAATGATTAAAATTTTGTTTTCTTAGCGTGCATTCGAACAGGACGAAAACGTTGTAGGTCGTGCCCAGGCCTGAATAGTATAACGTGTTGTCACCTTTAAGAGGACTCCGTTGCCATCCGGGGACCGGTTGCATTCAGTCGTGGCAGCCGATCATGCGTCACCTCCGAAGACAAAGTGAAGGGGCGGGGCTCTGTGTTGTGCCGATAGCGGGGGCGTTGGATGTGACTCCGACCCCAAGCTGAGTCGGACCGGACCCTGACCTCACACACGATCTTTGACCTGAACCCTCATCCCAGTCCTGGCCAAACGTGGTGCGACCCTTGACCCGGCAACGATCCGATGTCTGACCTGACCCCTGTCCTGACCTTGAGCCGGACATCTGACCGCCAACCTGCCCAGACCCTCGACTGTTGGCAGCTCCCACCGCCGGCCTAACCCCTGACCTAACCCGGTCCGCACCCTGACCTGACTTGACCCCTGTCCTGACCTTTAGCCGGACATCGGACCGCCAGTCTGCCCGGACCCTCGGCTGTTGGCGGCTCCCACTGCCGGCCTAACCCCTGACCTAACCCGATCCGCACCCTGACCTGACCTGAGCTGATCCCTGATTTGCGCGCTGACCTCGACTACTGCTGACCCCTGGGCGTGACCTGACCTGATCCATGACCTGACGGCTGACCTGACGGCCGACCTGACCGCTGTCGCCGGCAGCTGGAGGAGCGGGAGCGGATCGGGCGCGAGCACCAGGCCTTCCTGGAGGAGCGGGGTGCCACCGCCAGGCTAGCGCAGGAGATGGCTGACAACCGCTCCCGGCACAAACAGTGGGCCGACAAACTGGCCTACCTCAAAGGTACGGACCTGCCGGCTGGTCGCGGCTTACACTGGCCGGGTCAAGTCGCTCATGCAAAGGTCAAAAACTGAAAATCTTAATCCCTTAATTGTTCATGAAGTTCTATAAAATTATCAAACCGAGATGTCACGATGTCGAGACGCTATATATGCGTACACAAGTTCACAACTGAAGCTCTGATACAAACATCGTTCTAAGGCGGAGACTCAGAGGCGGTTGATGCACCACGACCCCGTGCCTCACCTCTCCCCGACCCCCCCCCCCCCCCCGCCGCCCCTGCAGAGGCGGAGACGGCGCACCGCGAGATGCTGCGCATGTCGGAGAGCAAGCTGGCGGCTCAGCGGCGGCGTCTGGCGGTGCTGCAGCAGGCGCTGCGCCAGCGCGGCCGGGCCGAGCGTGACTCGGAGCGCTCGCGGTCGCTGCTGCGCCAGACCACCGAGAAGGAGCTGCTCATTGGTCGGCTGCAGGATGAGATCAAGAAGCGGGTACGTCACGGCGCCGAGCTGGGGCGAGGGGAAGGGATCCGTAACGGTTCGTCACGGGACGGGTTGGGAGGGGGGGGGGGGACACGGACATGCTGTGATACGTTAATCTGAGCGTGCGTTGTCAGTGACGAATTAAGCACAAAGTGTGTAGTGTGCCTGAAAATGGTATTGCGTCAGATACATCGCCGTAAATTGTACAAAGTACCCAGAATTTCGCATCAACATCATGCTCCATTGGATCAAGCTGGCGTGTCGATATTTCGCTTCGAATGCCCGTTAGAGTGCATCGTACAAGCATCATCCCTGTATGGCTCCCAGTAGCGGTGGACATGCACGATCACCATAATATTCCGGCCAGCTGCTGAGTCTCTTCTCTAAATGGCCTCGCCCCGCTCTAGACGTGGTCGTGTTGTATGTGAGCAGAAGCGGGAGTCGGACGCCATCTCGTCGCAGCTGCACCAGGAGGAGCGGGCCGGCGCGCCGTCTTCGGAGGAGGAGCCCCCACCCACCGCGCGCAGCAGCTCCAGCGCGCCCAGCTGTGCCCGGCGCCGGCGGCCCTGCCTCAGCCCGCCCGGCGCCCGGTCAGTCCGGCGGCCAGTGACGCCGCGCGGGGCGGCGGAGGGTCGCAGACCGTGTTGGCCCGGCTGCGTCACGGCCGGTGGCTGCCGGCTGGGTTGTGCGAAATACTGGAGTGTGCTTCGTTTGAACAAGTGTCTGCGCTTCACGCCGACACGGACTGCACAAAGCAACACTGCTGTTATTCCGCTATCGTCCAAACGGTTGATAGGGATACGTTTGGGGCGTATTCCCGGGTGCCCGGTCGCCGGTGCGCCTCTCCACTGTGGTCCTGACGTGCAGCCCGGTTCCTCCAGGTCTGCGGCCGCGTCGCCGCCGCGGCGAGGTCGGCCGGGCCGTCCGCCCGGGCGCGGCTCGCCTCCTCTGGTCACGGCCCGCTCCAGCTCCACCTACGGAAGCCCGTCGGCCGACACGGCGCCCTCCAGCGGCGCCTCGTCACGTGCTACGCTGCCGCGCGCCCGGCCCGCGGCGCGCGCCAGCCCCACGCGCGCCACCGTGCCGCCCGTCAGCCCGCCGCGCCGCCGCACCACCCCGCCGCCGGACGGGCGCGCGCGCGCCGCTGCCGCCCGCGCCGCCGCGCGCGTGGCCGCAGTCCGCGCCCGCCTGCCGCTGGCCGCCGCCGCGCGCGCCAGCAGTCCGACGCAGGGCAGTCCGCGCGGGAGTCCTGGCCGCAGGAGTCCAGCCCGGCCGCCGACCGCTCCGGCGACGGCCGCGGCTGCGACGGCCGCCGCTGCTCCCAGCAGCCCGCGCCGGAGCAGCCTGCACCTGAGCCCGGCGCGGGGCGACGGCTCGCCGCGCCGGCCCGCCGCCGGCACGCGCCGCGTCCGCATGGTACGGCAGCCGGGCAGGCCTGGTGCGGCCGGGTGGGGTGCTGACGGGGGCACTACGGTCCGGCTGGTGTCTCCTGTCCAGATTCCCCTGGCGCCTTGTTAGGCGAGCTTGTTCTGACGTTCGTGAACGTTGAGGAGTCAAGTCAAGGGCACGGGGTCAATCATGTCTATCAGGAGATGGAATCGAACTGTGAAACATTTTTGTTATCATGAGATCAGTCTACGCTGTCCTGGATTCGCTACAGGAGACTGAGTTTCCTTTTGAACAACAATCCCAGTTTGTGTTATCATTGAGTGTGCGCGGCCTCGTTTCCCACGTAGTACGTAGCGATCCCTCCTAAACGCCATTCCCAATTGCCGCGAGAGCGCCGGCACCGCCACCTCGCCTCGGCTCACCCCGCCGTGCGCGTCCGCCGCAGGTGCCGGGCACGGTGGACGCCGACATCGGGGAGCTGGAGCGCGAGATTGACGAGATCGCCGCTGACGTGGCCTCGCTGGCGCGCGTCTCGGCCACGGCTGAGCCGCAGGAGCGCTTCGGCTCCGTCTGCTCCGTGTCCACGTGGAACTCACGCTCGGCACCGGACGTCGGTCAGTGGGCGGCTGGTCTGAGCGGCCGCAGTCGGACTGGCGGCGACTGCCGGCGTGCCTGGAAAATGTCGGGCTCGGTTGGCTAGGGTTTAAGAGTGGGGGCGGGTTCTGAGAACGTGGCGCGCTTGGGCCAGGAATCTTCTCCGGAGGCTCACACGGTGCATTTGTCCCGTTTCTCGCAATTTTCAGCAAGTGTGATTGCATTGCTGAGGCAGAGTTTGACATTTGCAGTGGCTTGTTGGCAGTTTATGCAGCTATTTGGACACTGTACTAGGAAGGCTATGTTTAGTGCCGTTCCTTACGAACGGCCGAGGACACATGATGTGATAGACATCTCCATGCGGTTGTTGACTGACAGCGTAGTGGTGTCAACGACTCGTCTGACTGTTCTGATAGACGGCTCCTCAAGGCCGTGTCGTCAATCTTTTCACGGTGCGCTGATGATAAATTTGTCGCCACTGCCTGGTGGCGTGGCCAGACAAGACCCCGCACTGGGTGAAGTGTATCCCTGCTAACTCTCACCATCCGTGGCCAAGACACGGTCTGCTGGCAGTTGGCATTAGTCACTCCCCCTTGTGGTCACCATATTTTGTCCCTGGAGACTCGCCTCATCTGCTGAGCTCCCCTACCGTCCCATCTGCTCTGCTTCGCTCCCCGACCGCCGGCGGCCGGCCTGTTGCAGCCTCGACGTTCGGCAGCGGCGGCGGCAGCGGCGGCTCGCTGCTGCCGGCCCACTCGTCGGCGCAGCGCGTGCGCGAGCAGCTGGTGAACAAGTGGCGCGGCGAGGACCGCTCCAGCGCCAGCGGCCGCTCGCTGCGCACCTCCAGGTGGGTCGCGCGGCGCCGACGCGTCGGCGGCGTCCGGCTCCTCCCCGGCTCCGTGCGGGCACCGCTCCACACCGGTGTGGCCGGTGTCGGGGTGTGTGCGCTGTGCGCGTGACTGAAGAAAAAGTTTGAGATTTTGCTGATTGTTTTAAGTATGGTACGCCTTCCATGGGCTCCTACTCGCATATACGTAGACATAGATGTGACGTGGTACTGTGGCCCGGAATGGGAGCGGAACAGCTTGTTTCGGCTAGTCGCTCCTTGGATGTCATGAAGCGTGAAGCAGACGGGCGCGACCGACCAGGACATCACTGATCACGTTCGCGTCCGTTGTGCCGTTGTCACACTACCGGCGTCACACTGTGCCGGTGTCACCCTGTGCCGACGTCACACTGTGCTGACGTCGCACTGTGCCGGTGTCACACTGTGCCGACGTCACCCTGTGCCGACGTCAAACTGTGCCGACGTCGCACTGTGCCGGTGTCACACTGTGCCGATGTCACACTATGTGCCGGTGTCACAGGTCTCATCTGCAGCAGACGGCGGCGCAGCGGCGCCAGACGGGCAGCAAGCAGCGAAGCCGGCAGACCATGCCGCCGCGCCGCCAGACCAGCTTCCGCAGCATGCTGTGAGCGACGCGGCGGTCGCTGGCGTCCGAGACAAGGCGGGGCGCGGCGCCGCAGAGTCGCCCGAGCAGCGGGACCGGGGCCGCTGCCGATCGAGACGTACGAAAGCGACAGGGTCTGGGGCAGAGTTCCCGGAAGCGCACAGTGAGCTGCACGGACCAGGGGGGTGCGTCTTCATGCATGCGAGAACGGTGGGATGAGGACCAGGAGCTGGTCTCGGAGCGCACGGGAAGCTAGGACACTGCAGAGCTGTGTGTTCGTTACGCTCGCAGGACCGGTGGCTCGAAGTGTGGGGCGTGGTGGTGATGACATTGTCAGGTCATGGCGTGGAGAATTATCACGGGTCACGTGGCAGCAGAGCACTGCATCCCGACGCTCCGGGATGTAGCGCAGTTCGTAGTTCGCAGTTCAGCGAATGACCGTGGGAGCCGCGCAAGTGAAGCTGATGCCCTTTCGGTGATGTATTGTTTCACGTGGAAGAGCAAATTCCGTGACGCGTGAAATGTGTAGACTCAAAACTAGGAGTGAGTCAGTTCGTGGATTGACGAAACTTAAGGCATTTAGTCTTTTATAATCGTTTCCCTGTAGCCCAGTCATTTAACGTACGACGTTCAGCATTACCGTTTTGCCTTTGGAGGGTCTAAGTTTGTTATTTCCCGTCACTGTGCGGATAAAATCATCGCGCCTCTCATTCCCCGCGTTGTCACCCGTCAGAGTTTTCCCACCCAATCACCCAGCGTCCCCTGCGGGTAGCGCCTGTGATACGCAAACCAAGCTGGGTATCCGTGCGACCTGCGATGGATGGTCGTCCGTTCATCAGGGCTGGCAGATCTCTGCGGCCCCTCATCGAAGGACGCGTGTTTTAGACGCGTGCGTCGGTGTCCGGGCGACGCCGTGGCGGTCGTCGAGGACGCTGTCCGTGCGTGGCTCGCGTGTTGTCTGGGTGGGCTGGACACAGCTGGGAGGACGATGTCGGTGTTGGTCGGTGGTTTGGTGCCTCGAGCTCGTCCGCCTCAGACCCATGCTGTGCTGCATGTGAGGGTGTTGGATTGTGTCACTGTCCAACGGCGAAAACGATTTGCGTGCTGGTGAGCGCACGCCAAGGCATGTCTGTGCGTCCCGAGCGCCGAGAAGTGCATGATTGGCGAAAGAACCCACTTGTTGATGAAGTCCAATGTGTGTTGTGATGGATGCCCCGCGCAAATGTGGCGTTGTTAATTCAAAGAATAAACCATGTCGAATTTTGAACAGCCTGACCCTTCCGGCTTTGCGATTTCTCCTATTTTCGTATATTTCTGGTGGGACCGTAGCCGTATCCACAGCGTTTGCGGTCCACCAAACATTGCCGCTACATCACGTTTGGCGGCTGTGGAACTCACATCTAAGTTGACTTATCTGCAAAAAAAAAAACGAGCGGAGGAGAACCACCTCATGATGGTTTTTGGCGGCTTACGAGCGGTATTTGTTGAAGTCCCCCTGGTGTGCTGACCAGCAGCGGCGCCAGGGGGCGGCGGCCTCCCCACTCACGAACTTCGGTCCCGGCTGTTTCACGTGCATGAGTCAACTCAGTTGGAAGACGGCATACAGGCGGTGGTGCAAGTCCGTGTATTTAGCGCAACGGCTCCGACAGTTCCGAGCTTCCGTCCAGAAGCAGAGACTTCGCCCGTCAGCGCCGGCTACGTGACGAAGTACACCCCGGCCGAGCGTGCACCAAAGACGCGGACACGCCGCCCCAGGCCGAACAACTAACCAGGCAAGCCAAATTTCACGCCACAAACTGGCTCCTCTGGACGGGTTCGGTGCACACAGTGGACGGCGACAGGTGAGCGCGACCTGACGTATTACGCGGAGGCAGAGATCAGAAACGTCACAAGCGCACGCAGGCTAGCGGCGCGGCGAGCGGTGAAGAGCGAGACCACGCGGTCACGGTCACGGTCACCGGCTGTGATCAAAAAGGTGACGTTGCATTTACATTATAGATCTCGCAGTGATAGATATAACACGTAACTCAAAGAACCGCGCCCTACACAAAACTTGTATCAAACGGCGACATAAGAGGCCCGGACAATTCTGCTGTAAATAAAACACTGGCCAGAGAGATCATGCTCACAACCGAGTCAATATTTCAAATAACGACAAATAAGTACTTGAAATGCAACCTCATCAATATGCTTCACACCACAAAAGCTAAATAGGAATCTTCCTGCAATGACTCACGCAGAAGGTACTCATAAAATGTCAAAATGACAGCAACGACAAAAAGCATGTTCCACAATATGACTAGAAAGTTGTCAGGTGTTCACAACCCAACGCCAGCCCCACCGGGCGTAGCGACTAGGTACATACTACACGCCAAGGTCAGGAGTGCGTGGTGCGTGCAGACGGCGATGTGACGTGACACAAGCCAGCGTGACTTATCGAGGTCACAAACCACGATCAGCACAGCGAGAGAGCCGAGGGGAACGTCCACAAGAACCACAGCTCCCGCAACAATGAACTCTACGAAACCCCGCATTTCATATTCGTGATGTCGTGCACGAGTTCTGTCGACTATTCGATCCTCCCATCTGAATATGGCGTGGTCGATCCCACAACGAAACTAATACGACGGATATCACAGCGGAAGTCTACCGTCATCTGGCACTGAGCCCCAAACCACAATTTCCGCGCTAGCAAACCCCTCCGCGGCTTCGGAACCGCCGAAGCACCATCGGAGCAGCGGGGGAGCAGTCTGAGGGATCCCGGTCCCGCTGACGTCACGCGAGCTGCGTGGCAGGGTCACCATGTGCAGGTCCGTCACTCGCAGATGCACCAGGGACATCTGAGGTCCAGGGCCGGATGAAGGACACCTCGTTGACGTCTGGGAGTTCAAAGGACCGGAAGAGTTCAAGGACGGAATCCTGTCAGATCTAGACAAAACAGCTGATATATAGCCGACATAACTGAGGGCAATAGCCCAGAGGGGCAAATGCGGGACATGAGAAATCCAAAAACGGTTCGGATCGACAAGGATCATGTCGGGAGTTGCAACAGAAGGGGCGTCAGACTGACCCCGCCTCTCGTACCGACGACCACCGCTGGGACCCACACCGTACCGGCGAGGTCCGGCTGGGCGCCCCGGCAGCCGAGACCGAGCTCAGCCCCGAGTGAAGGGCGAGCCCGGCTTCCCACAGCACAGCGAGCGGCTGGTCGGCGGCACGGGCTGAGGGGCGTCAGACTGACCCCGCCCCTCGCACCGACGGCCGCCGGACTGAGGGGCGTCAGACTGACCCCGCCCCTCGCACCGACGGCCGCCGGACTAAGGGGCGTCAGACTGACCCCGCTCCTCGCATTGACGGCCGCCGGGCTGAGGGGCGTCAGGCTGACCCCGCCCCCCGCACCGACGGCCACCGGACTGAGGGGCGTCAGACTGACCCCGCCCCTCGCACCGACGGCCACCGGACTGAGGGGCGTCAGACTGACACCGCCCCTCGCGCCATCAGCTGCCGGACTGAGGGGCGTCAGACTGACCCCGCGCCTCGCACCAACGGCCGCCGGACTGCCGGCTACTCCATAACCTCCTGCTGCTCGTAATACCCGGTGTCGAACTCCTGAAACGAGGTCTCCAGTCAGAGGAGGGCGCACCATCTAACGCTCTCAAACTGGTCAACGTCAGCGACACGGGTGAGGGATGGTGCCGTCTCACTGCTTTTTATCATGGAGTAATGCTTTCTTGTCCCCCTATATCACTGTGCAGTCAATGTTCCGTTGCGAGTATTCGGCGTAAGCCGGTCTTTACAAACTGGCCGACACAACAGCCACTCCAAAAGAATAGATTGTCACCTGACATCCAACGCATGTTAGGACTCAGTGAGTTACAACACACAGGCGTGGCTTTCCAAAACGTTGCCGCGAATCAGTAAGAACAACGCACTGCACGTGTCCGCAACACTCGGCCCTGCGCTCTCGAGCTCTGGCCGGACCGCACCTGGTTCAGCTTCCTGAACTCCACCAGCTGGAACAGAGTGTACTCCAGGATGTGCTTGGCGCTGCGCGAGTCGGGCGGCAGCTTCACGGTGATTCCTGACGATGGGACACAACAGCACGAGGTCACGAACTGTGCGGAGAGGAAGCCAGAGGCAGTGCGGGGAGGGGGAGGAGGCAGGGGGAAAGAAGAGGTGCAAAGACTCGCCGACAGAGGCTGGAGATCATACGACCTCGGCACAGTTCTGAGGACAGCAAAGATCACCCCGATCCTAACCCATCTGAAGTATATTGTCAGAAAATTCGCCACCCAATCGCCTACTCCTGAAGAAAATAGCTCCCCGAACGAACGGTCAGGGATCACGTTTCGGAAACCAGAATGAACACACCGTCAAATCCCATAAAAAGCCTTCCGATCACAGGCGCCATGGCGAGGGAAAACACGTCTGGGAAGAGCAGCACGACTCATTTCCACACAGACCACCGGTGGAGGCAGCGGCGGCGGCCGCCACCCGCCCCTCCCCCTCGCCCACGCACCCATGACGTCACCGCACTCGCGGGCGTAGTACTCCAGGTCGGAGTCGTTGCACTTGTTGGTGGCCTGCGCCAGCCGCGACTTCTCGCTGCTGAAGGCCTCGTCCAGGTCAAACAGCTCGAGCGGCGGGTGCGGCAGCTCGCGGAACGCCGGCGGAAATATCTGACGTCACGCAAAGGGTGTGACGTCAAACCATGACAGCTCGCGGGACGACGGTGGGAACATCCGACGTCTTACAACGGAGGCAACAGAAAAAGGGAGGAATCAATGGACACTTGACGTCATTCACCAAACACCAGACACTGCCAGGGATCCAGGGAATACAGTAGAGGACTCACGACACGCGGGGCACACAAACAGGAGCTGTGAGCAAACACGACGGATTCCCATAGCTCGCAAACGACAATGCATGGGTTACAATGCCTGGAGGACGACGGCTTGAAAGCGCAAAGATATACTGAACTGCATCATGGCTTCCGGGCGGGTAATTTTGCCAGCGCCTCAGTCG